GGGGGGGGGGGGGGGGGGGGTTCAGGGTCCCCCTGACACTCCCCCAAAATCCGCCACTGTGCATACAGACACATTAGTGGCAATTTACTCATTATCATTCTAAAACAACATCCGCCTTTAATGAAAGGGGCAAATTAAACTGTTAACATAATGCTTATAGGTGCAGATTTATTTGTGAAAAGGTAATAATTATGATTCTAGTACGACACCCGGGTACAATGAGAGGGTAAATTTTAGGGATGGAAATTGTGAAAACAGAGCGTCCAACGGTGAATTTCGTTCGGAAGCAAATCTTATAAAGTGGATATACCAATATAATCATAACTCATCTTTTTAATTCTACATTACGTATTCCTTTAGGTTGTCTGTTCTTATCACTTACACTCTCCTGCGAGATAATGGAAGAAGAAAAAAGACTGACCCATTTTTGAAAATACAATGGGAGCTGAAATTTAGTCTATCAGATGGTTATCACTGTTATCAAGTCGCCTATCGCGCCGACTGAAATCACCCTGATGCTGAAGCTCTCTTCTCTTATCTGGATAGGATAGACACAATCCCAGTTCTGACGTGAGGACGGAGAGCGTGAACTGGATAGAGGGTTACTCGGGGTGTCTGACACAAAAACCTTCACAAAACCAGCTACACCAGGCTCTGTTGTGTGCTATGTGATTTGCGGGGTTTTAACAGGGATGTTCAATAGTGCTTGTTTTCATTCTATTTCGAACTATGGTTTATTATTGAAATTCGTATTTCTGTCTACGTGTTGTCAATCTGGACAGTTCCTCTCCACATCATGGGTGTGACCTTGTCTTTGACTAGCCTGGTCTATGTTATACTGACACTGTTTTTCTCGGTGCTGTCTATACTCGGAACCCTTCTGATAATCCTAGTCTACTTCATGTATGTGGATCTTAGGACGACCAGCAGAAAGATCGTAGTGTTTTTAAGCATTGGTGATTTCATCAACGCGCTGTCGCAGACCATAGGGCTAGTGTGGTACGTCAGCGACACGCACACATCTGTTGACTACACGGACATCAAATTCCTGGCGCTGTGTGAGGGCCCTGCGGCAGGTCTAATCTTTGGGACGATAGCATCGTGCCTATGGACGGTGGTGCTAGCTCTGTATATGTACATATGCATCGTGAGGAACAGAGTTGGACTGGCACAGAAGTTGATTACCCCCAGCCATGTGGTTTGCTGGATGATACCAAGTAAGTCTCCAGGATAGAGTGTATGGGCATTATCAATCTGCGTGTATTCCTAACAGAAAGAAAAAAATTCCATCCTAGATATGTCACGGGAAATTTTCTGAACTGTAGGCGACAGCATATATTTACATTCGGTACAGGATATTGCGTCTATTTGTATAAATTCTTCCAGCAGATGATGCCAATTAAAGAAATGAATGAAAAATTTTTCTCCAAAGAAATATGCCAACTTTGACAATCACCAATTACCTATGGGCTATTTTCACGAATAGAATTTTCTTTTGAATTAACTCGGGATAATAGTGAATTCTCACAACTGCATTCTCTATAATAATGGCAATGACAGTACTCATGATAAAATGCACCGATACGAGATAACCTAGAACAATGTATTAAAACCCAGTTTTCATGTAGGAATGATATACTAGGAGATAATCTTGATAGGAATTCAAAATTTTTAACGTTGTAATTTTTAATGAAAATAATAATAAAAAAAAAACATTCAAGGTCTGCATTCCTGTTTGAGCCGTTACTTTGTCTTTTTCTCTTACCCAATCAAAGTTTAGGATAAAGACAAGTATTTTACGTAAACCGGTGTAAAATGCCGCGATTCAGTGAGTTTATTTGATCATATATCTTCCTAGGTTTGATGGTGATCATATTGATGAGTGAGACAGAACTGGGGTATGATGAGGCACTCAAAAACTCGAGTTCATCGGCCAGCATTTGCTGGATCAGAAACGTTAACGACTCCAACCCGAAGGCTGTCTTTGATCAGTTTCTCTGGCAGGTATTTAGCATGCCTTTTTGGGAATTGACATCAGTTATTGTCGTCGCCATCTTGACTTCAAGGACAGTTCATCACGTGCACGCTGAGGTAAGACACATTTAAATTCGAAATGGCTTACTCCAACCATGGACCTAATGAGGTCTCATTAGGACCATGCTCCAACAGAATTTTCAAAATAAAATGAAGATACTCTTGCTCAGGTGTATAAAATCTTGTATGTTACCTGCTTCTTTATTTTTCAATCTTTTGTTATATTTAAAATTGTTTTAGTCTTAAGTTTTTATTTTGCATCAATAGGCCTATCTAATGCCAACTCAGTTTTACGAAAAATAACAAATTACTTCTATAAGATGATTCACCGCGACAAAACCTGTTAAATACCTATTTTTGCAATTGTTTTGACAAAATCTTTGCTTCACTAAGTTTTTAGACTTTTACAAGTAGATACTTCGAGAAAAAGACCAACATGACATCAGCGAAGAAACCATGGCGGCCATATGGGCAGCTAACAAGAAGATGGTCGCCATTCCCGTTGTCATGGTATTCGTGAGAATTTGGGGGATTGCCAGGTTCCTCGTGACAGCCATTACCAAAATGGCTTATCCGGGCCAGAAGGCGATCTTGAAGAGAGTGGACAGTCATCCTGCCATGGTGATTCTTATGATGTTACAGGTAGGGGCCTACATGTTATTTAGCCCATTATGAGTACCCTAACAGCCACGCATGCAAAACGATTCATAGTTGTCATTTCTAGACGCTGGTTGATTTTTTCCCTTTTTTTCTAATTTTTCTTTACATTTTTGACGGCGTTCGCATTTTTGGAAGTGGCTTAATCATAGGCCTACCCAGCCGTACATCTAGGTTTTTTTCTGTATCTGTATCTGTTCATGTACGTCTAGAGACACCAATAGGGGAGAACGGGGCTAGTTGGCCCCGTAAGACACTTTTGGCCTTGTAGAGCCAACTAGGAATGGGTTAGAGTAACAAAACCGGTTTCAAAGTAAGCCCTATGAACTAAGCTACGTATGCAACGCCATTATTTTTCAAACATAATGCCAGATGGCTCACGATTTGACAAAAAACGCAGTTGACGTCAGGGGGGCCAACTTGCCCCGCCACAGTGCAAGTTGGCCCCAGGGTCGGGGCAAGTTGGCCCCCTATATACGAAAATGAAGTATATATCCCATGTAAACGCCTTGAAATAAATTTTTATACATTTTTAATTTATTAAATTGATTTTTGAGAGTCTTTGATGAATAAATAGTTCAAATGAGGCAGATTTTTTAGGTTTCCGTACGTCACGTTGTAGGGGGGGTATGTGTTGCAAGAACCAAAATATCTATCAATAAAATTTGTTTTGTTTTAATTAAGAATTAATTAATAATGGTATAAAGCAGGTTTTTAATCATTGAAAACGAATAATAAATTTCGTATTAAAAGAAAGTAACAAATTCAGTTTTAAACCACTGAGTTTGTTTCAACAATGGTCTCTAGCTAGGGAGGGGTGGATAATCCCCTTGGGGCCACATATAACACCGTAAATACAAATTGAATCCCCTTACAATGAATTAAGGCAAAATAAATGTTTTTCTAAAGAAAGTTTCGCTTTTTAATACATACAATCAACAGAACATTTCTAATATAAATTTTCAAAAAAACACCAGAGAGCAAATTAAATAAAATTAATCAGACAGTAAACACCGGCAAGCTGTTGGTAATGTGAGGGTCCAACTTGCCCTAAGTCAAGGGGGCCAACTAGCCCCGGGTGCACATTATTTATTTTAAAGGATGGTAGCCATTTATGGTGCTAGAATGAGCAACGATGATACATCTCCGTGAAACTTGAAACAATGAGCTTCAGTTTGATGCCCTATACATATCTTATATTCGATCAAAAGCATATGAAAATAGATTTTTAAATCTCTTAAACAAAATTAGGCCTACTTTTAGGTGCAAAAAAAGTTTATTTAGACTCACCGCTTAAGTAAAACTTTTTAACGTCCGACACTTCCTTAGCATTGTAGGCTACGGTCATTTTACAAGAGTATGTGGCCAATTTTTTTTACATCGTAGTTACTTTTTCATAAATTGACGGGGGGCCAACTTACCCCGGGGTCCAACTCTCCCCTACTGGTATGATGTAGACGGATAGAAGAGAGCGCACGGGAAACTTTAGTCAAATAGTAGTCCTGATCTAAAGCTTTCAACAGTTTCAGCGTTTACTTGTTGGTCACTGAGTCCATTCCAATCGGAAACTGTTCTGACGAAGAAAGAGTTTTTTTCTGACGAGTGTTTTACAACGTTGTAAGTGAAAGCAGCGACTGTTATTAGTACTATTCACAATGTTTTCAGAGTCAAAGTCAATGAAAGATTTAGCCCTTATACGACGTTTGTTAGAGACTGGTACGAAGTAAGTGTCGGGGGGTATCGCTGGAACTAACCCCTCAGCCACCTTGAATAGAAAAGTTAGCCGCAGTTCCCTCCTCCTGTGCTGCAGTAGTGGTATCTCTAGTGATTTCAGCATGGAGGTGACACTACCTGGGGATTGAGACTTGTAATCCCCAGTGATGAACCGTGCAGCTTTTCTTTGAATTTTTTCCATTTTATCAATGTCTGTTTTTAAATAAGGATCCCATATGATAGCACCATATTCTAGAGTGGAACGGACAAGGGCTATGTAGGCAGATTTCCGTGTGATAACTGAACTATGGTATAAATTTCTTTTTAATTATGTAATTTCTTTTCAGGGTATAGGCGATGGTTCCCAGGGTCTCGGAAACGCTATGCTGTTTTGTTTCTTCACAAAGTCCGTTAGAACAAGATTATGGGACGGAATAAAAAGAGCAGTTTCCTGCAAATGGCGACATAAGCGTCGAGAAAAATCAACACGGTCAGATCATGGAAGCATCTTGGCAGACGACCGCCAACCCGTCCCAGCAGGCACTGCGAAAATCGAATCCTCTGTCACAGTGTGAAGCAATCCTAGTTGATATTTCTGTGGATTGCCTTTTACCGTTCTGCTACAGGTAGCATGAAAGGAATGTTGAAAACTAAAAGTCAGGGAGCTTTCTGTATTTGAGTATATAGTACTCACCAACAGGAGTGCTTTTGGAATAGTCCTTAGGAAATCTTCAGTAAAAATGCACTTTTAGGATACAAGGAACAAAGAATCACCACTCGCTGAATATGCAAAACTGAGATTCGTTAAAGGACACTCATTGTTTATTGTTTCCTGATAGTCGTGACCAAGTTATATATTTCCTGCTGCATGTAACACAAGATACCCGCTGAACAAGATAACTCTGTATTATCAGTTATGTATAGTCGTACAAATACAATAGATATTGAAATCATAACACCGCCTTCACCTGTCCTCCAGCTTGAAAGCAGCAAAGCATTTCATGATTTTTTTCACGAAGTCACGATAATATTTTACATCTACAACATGTATATAGAAACTACTGCATTGCTTTTGACAGCACCAATAATATCTTAACTGCCACAATCAACTATCCACCATATATGAACTACTTAATTTGGAGGCCTTCCCAGGGAAAAAAAAACATTAATACATATGCACAATAAACTGTAAGAGCACCTGCATTTTCTTGCCGTGTAATTGCCAAGACAGTATTACAAGAGGAAATAACTTTTCACCTAATAGCAAATGCTTCCATGTGGTGGTTTTGTAACAAATTTATATGAATATCCACTCATTCTAAAGCAATATTCATATCTATTATAAAAATAAGTAAATAAATAAATAAAACAAAGCAATCTAGAATGAAAAAGAAAAATACAAACATCATTGCACCGTTTCATTCTTTAGCAGATGCACAAGGAATATATCTTTGAACTATATCAATTACTGATATATTGCCAAGGGAAAAAGCACATCACATCTGTATATATTGCAGCACCTTAAAATTGTCAATTACTAAAATCATTTTGATCAGCCAAGATTTGAAATGGTAAAATACAATTGAAAATAAAGAACAACCCTTGCTCATATCAAAACTATTGCACTGCAATCCTAGTACCCTCACGTCATATCTTCTTATACAAGTCATGTCAAATGTGAACAAAACTAAGTCCTACGGTTTGTTTCCTATTTTGTCAACTTCTTGAGGCAAGTCTGTGTCAACTGCTATTAATTCCATGCAGTGTCTGTTCCTTATAAATATCTGTCAAACATGTGACATCGGTTACTGCAAAATGTAACTCAAGGTAAAGTATCCACATTTAAAACTGTCGACTGTCCATTGTACACACATCCTGCAAATCTACTCATCCTGCACGATTCAGACTTAAAATAAAAGTACTTGATGTCATGGCTGTCCTCTGAAATTTACAGTAAGACATGACATTCTTAACATTACAGTAAACATTTAGATCTATAGTTAGCATGCCTTTAAAAAATACTCGTCATAAAGAACAGTCCCTCTATACAGCATATCCTGTATGATAGGAACTCTAATGGAAATGCTTTTTTCCATTTCTATACATGAATCTCTGAGAACATTCGGCAATATTCTTTTTTTTTTAACAGCAACTAAAATATGCAAACAAATGACAATACAAAGAAGACAAAACCCAACAAGAAGCTCTCCATCCGTTACTTATATTACNTATTGAGACGTGTATGTATAGAGACGTATCTATCGGGGCGAATATTTTATTGGGACGTTTATCTATATGGCGGACCCCATTTCAGCATGGAGGTGACACTACCTGGGGATTGAGACTTGTAATCCCCAGTGATGAACCGTGCAACTTTTCTTTGAATTTTTTCCATTTTATCAATGTCTGTTTTTAAATAAGGATCCCATATGATAGCACCATATTCTAGAGTGGAACGGACAAGGGCTATGTAGGCAGATTTCCGTGTGATAACTGGACTATGGTATAAATTTCTTTTTAATTATGTAATTTCTTTTCAGGGTATAGGCGATGGTTCCCAGGGTCTCGGAAACGCTATGCTGTTTTGTTTCTTCACAAAGTCCGTTAGAACAAGATTATGGGACGGAATAAAAAGAGCAATTTCCTGCAAATGGCGACATAAGCGTCGAGAAAAATCAACACGGTCAGATCATGGAAGCATCTTGGCAGACGACCGCCAACCCGTCCCAGCAGGCACTGCGAAAATCGAATCCTCTGTCACAGTGTGAAGCAATCCTCGTTGATATTTCTGTGGATTGCCTTTTACCGTTCTGCTACAGGTAGCATGAAAGGAATGTTGAAAACTAAAAGTCAGGGAGGAAGTACGGCTTCTGGTCCCATTTTTACTTGGAATTGTTATTCAGCTCAGCAGCTTTCTGTATTTGAGTATATAGTACTCACCAACAGGAGTGCTTTTGGAATAGTCCTTAGGAAATCTTCAGTAAAAATGCACTTTTAGGATACAAGGAACAAAGAATCACCACTCGCTGAATATGCAAAACTGAGATTCGTTAAAGGACACTCATTGTTTATTGTTTCCTGATAGTCGTGACCAAGTTATATATTTCCTGCTGCATGTAACACAAGATACCCGCTGAACAAGATAACTCTGTATTATCAGTTATGTATAGTCGTACAAATACAATAGATATTGAAATCATAACACCGCCTTCACCTGTCCTCCAGCTTGAAAGCAGCAAAGCATTTCATGATTTTTTTCACGAAGTCACGATTATATTTTACATCTACAACATGTATATAGAAACTACTGCATTGCTTTTGACAGCACCAATAATATCTTAACTGCCACAATCAACTATCCACCATATATGAACTACTTAATTTGGAGGCCTTCCCAGGGAAAAAAAACATTAATACATATGCACAATAAACTGTAAGAGCACCTGCATTTTCTTGCTGTGTAATTGCCAAGATAGTATTACAAGAGGAAATAACTTTTCACCTAATAGCAAATGCTTCCATGTGGTGGTTTTGTAACAAATTTATATGAATATCCACTTATTCTAAAGCAATATTCATATCTATTATAAAAATAAGTAAATAAATAAATAAAACAAAGCAATCTAGAATGAAAAAGAAAAATACAAACATCATTGCACCATTTCATTCTTTAGCAGATGCACAAGGAATATATCTTTGAACTATATCAATTACTGATATATTGCCAAGGGAAAAAGCACATCACATCTGTATATATTGCAGCACCTTAAAATTGTAAATTACTAAAATCATTTTGATCAGCCAAGATTTGAAATGGTAAAATACAATTGAAAATAAAGAACAACCCTTGCTCATATCAGAAACTATTGCACTGCAATCCTAGTACCCTCACGTCATATCTTCTTATACAAGTCATGTCAAATGTGAACAAAACTAAGTCCTACGGTTTATTTCCTATTTTGTCAACTTCTTGAGGCAAGTCTGTGTCAACTGCTATTAATTCCATGCAGTGTCTGTTCCTTATAAATATCTGTCAAACATGTGACATCGGTTACTGCAAAATGTAACTCAAGGTAAAGTATCCACATTTAAAACTGTCGACTGTCCATTGTACACACATCCTGCAAATCTACTCATCCTGCACGATTCAGACTTAAAATAAAAGGACTTGATGTCATGGCTGTCCTCTGAAATTTATAGTAAGACATGACATTCTTAACATTACAGTAAACATTTAGATCTATAGTTAGCACGCCTTTAAAAAATACTCGTCATAAAGAACAGTCCCTCTATACAGCATATCCTGTATGATAGGAACTCTAATGGAAATGCTTTTTTCCATTTCTATACATGAATCTCTGAGAACATTCGGCAATATTCTTTTTTTTAACAGCAACTAAAATATGCAAACAAATGACAATACAAAGAAGACAAAACCCAACAAGAAGCTCTCCATCCGTTACTTATATAACCTATAGTTTCTATAGTTTTCAACTGTGGAGCATGTGTTCCTTTATCACAGACAGCTTGTAAAAAGTTTAATGAAATCAAAATATAATATGAAATTAATATCTTTTCTTTATCCTCTCTGCTTTTAATTTTTCTAACTGTTTTTGTTTTCTTCTTTTCTTTCTTGCTTCTTCATCTTTCATGTCTTCCAAGTCTTCCTTCATCCCCAGGCGGAGACTAGCAATATTGAAACAAAACATTTTTAAGCATAAAAAGTTACATTTTAGAACAAAATTGCTTAAGAGGTAATGAAGTACAAGACTGCAATAAACTTGAAATTAGCTCTCTATACTATTCCATTTGATGAAGTGGAAAAGATTACTCAAACAGCAGAAAATGTTAACAATTTTAAACTGAAATGTGTGTTGATTTACAAATAACAGTAAAATGATCAACATGCAGGTACTTGCTTTTATAAAATATCTTTTTCCATACATTGTATAATACTAATAATAATAATAATAATAATAATGGACCAGACACCACAAAAATAATATCAAAAATATGCACTGAACACATTCATAGTGAAATAAATAGCAAACATTTTACCTGCGAGATTCTTCTTTCATGATATCATGGAAATTAGCCTCCATGTTTGAGACGTCATCATCCTCATCACGATACCTACAAGAGACAAACAGTCCATTTCATCACACAGTCATCTGGGACTGACTTACTGAGAAACATTTAAGGTAAAAACAAGTATGTAACATCATACAGAGTTTTAACAGTTTTAACAGTTTTACCAATAAGACAGGCCAGTTTACACTTATCACTTACTTTCTCTTATCATAGCCAAAGATCTCCTTGATGTACTTGGATACACTGTTCTGTTCCATCGGGCCATCATCAATGAAGTCGTCGTCCATATCATATTCATCGTCTGACTCTTCAGAATAGTAATGCTCCTCCTCAACTCTAGGCCTCTTGGCTAATGTTTAAAGAAACATCCATAAATGTGTGATTTTGTTTTTAAAGGTTTACAGTAAATGTTACAATAAATGTCCAAAAGTAATAATTTTATGTCTAAATATATCCTGTAAAGCTACTTATGTTTCCGATAAACCCTCTCTAATAAAAGTGCCTGGAGTTGATATTCCCTTCTTGTGAAAAATTGTATAATTAGCTAAAGGTTTTTATCAGCCATGTAGAATGACTCCTCTCAATATCCTCTCAATCTATTCTGTATTTCAACAGTCAAAATATAGTTAACTAGAGGATCAGAGAGGCGATGCCGCCTCCGAATATTGTACCACCAGCTGGAGCAAGCGCATTTGTATAGACCCCCACATACACAAAATAAGGGACACAGCCACCAGTCTTTTGCTTGACAAGCTGTAAAAATGCAATCAACAAGAATTTTCAAAATATGCAAAAAAAATATATATAACTTAAAATGGTACAATCAAAGTTAAGTTCATCAAAAGGTAGGTCAAAGGTCAATTTCACAGTAAGATTGCCAGTATATGACTTCCTATTCAAGTTCAATAGTAACAATGGACCTATCTCTGCCAGGTTAGGAGTTAAAAGAGAAAGAAATTAGCAGAGTTCAGTTCATGGTGAAAAGTAGGTCAAAGGTCAATTTTAAGCTCACATTTAGATTGCTAGTATATGACTTCCTATTCAACTTCAATAGTAACTNGAAATTTACAGTAAGACATGACATTCTTAACATTACAGTAAACATTTAGATCTATAGTTAGCATGCCTTTAAAAAATACTCGTCATAAAGAACAGTCCCTCTATACAGCATATCCTGTATGATAGGAACTCTAATGGAAATGCTTTTTTCCATTTCTATACATGAATCTCTGAGAACATTCGGCAATATTCTTTTTTTTTTAACAGCAACTAAAATATGCAAACAAATGACAATACAAAGAAGACAAAACCCAACAAGAAGCTCTCCATCCGTTACTTATATTACCTATAGTTTCTATAGTTTTCAACTGTGGAGCATGTGTTCCTTTATCACAGACAGCTTGTAAAAAGTTTAATGAAATCAAAATATAATATGAAATTAATATCTTTTCTTTATCCTCTCTGCTTTTAATTTTTCTAACTGTTTTTGTTTTCTTCTTTTCTTTCTTGCTTCTTCATCTTTCATGTCTTCCAAGTCTTCCTTCATCCCCAGGCGGAGACTAGCAATATTGAAACAAAACATTTTTAAGCATAAAAAGTTACATTTTAGAACAAAATTGCTTAAGAGGTAATGAAGTACAAGACTGCAATAAACTTGAAATTAGCTCTCTATACTATTCCATTTGATGAAGTGGAAAAGATTACTCAAACAGCAGAAAATGTTAACAATTTTAAACTGAAATGTGTGTTGATTTACAAATAACAGTAAAATGATCAACATGCAGGTACTTGCTTTTATAAAATATCTTTTTCCATACATTGTATAATACTAATAATAATAATAATAATAATAATGGACCTGACACCGCAAAAATAATATCAAAAATATGCACTGAACACATTCATAGTGAAATAAATAGCAAACATTTTACCTGCGAGATTCTTCTTTCATGATATCATGGAAATTAGCCTCCATGTTTGAGACGTCATCATCCTCATCACGATACCTACAAGAGACAAACAGTCCATTTCATCACACAGTCATCTGGGACTGACTTACTGAGAAACATTTAAGGTAAAAACAAGTATATAACATCATACAGAGTTTTAACAGTTTTAACAGTTTTACCAATAAAACAGGCCAGTTTACACTTATCACTTACTTTCTCTTATCATAGCCAAAGATCTCCTTGATGTACTTAGATACACTGTTCTGTTCCATCGGGCCATCATCAATGAAGTCGTCGTCCATATCATATTCATCGTCTGACTCTTCAGAATAGTAATGCTCCTCCTCAACTCTAGGCCTCTTGGCTAATGTTTAAAGAAACATCCATAAATGTGTGATTTTGTTTTTAAAGGTTTACAATAAATGTTACAATAAATGTCCAAAAGTAATAATTTTATGTCTAAATATATCCTGTAAAGCTACTAATGTTTCCGATAAACCCTCTCTAATAAAAGTCCCTTCTTGTTAAAAATTGTATAATTAGCTAAAGGTTTTTATCAGCCATGTAGAATGACTCCTCTCAATATCCTCTCAATATATTCTGTATTTCAACAGTCAAAATATAGTTAAATAGGAATGAATTATATTTTACACATATTAAACCATCAAGGTCTAAGTAGAAAAAAAAAATGTTCATTAGCATTCTCACCTGGTCTTCTGTGGTATTCATTGTAAATTCTATCCCAAGCTGACATGGGTTTTTCTTCCTCTTCTTCCTCCTCCTCCTCAACTGTCGTCCCTTTACTGGGACCACACTCCAATACAATATCATTGGTCTGATCATAGGCAGGCATCTTCAGACGTTTCATTTTGGGTGGTGCAGATGGAGTGGATGGTTTGGAAGAAGATGGCTGACCTACAGTTTTCTGCGGTGTCATGCCTGGTTTGAACCTGACATCCCCTGGCAGGTACGTCTTTGCTGATTGTTGAGGTTCCTCTGAATCTTCTTCCATTCCAGGCACATATCTTGCATCCCCAGGTAAATATCTCTTTTTCTGCATAGGGGTTCCTGGAGGTTTTGTCTTTTCTTTGCTTGTGGATTTCGAGTTGGTAGGCAAAGATGGCTTTGAAGACTGTGACTTTACCTTAGCTGGCTGTGCCTCAGCCTGTTTCTGTTGTGCAGAAGCATCTGGTAATGCAGAATCTTTTTTCTGAGTCATCTTTTTATCTTTGCCTTTGCTCTTTTTGTCTGCTGCTGATGATGGAGGAGGTTGTTGTGGCGGTAAGGGTTTTCCATACTTAATCCAATCTTGATATTCTTTTGTTGAAGTTCTTGCTAACCTATCCTTCTCTTCCTGAGTCATTGGTCTGGCCTCGGCCTCCTTTTTTGACTTTTCTTTTGGCACGGCAGTCTTGACTGGCTCATGTTGTTTAACAGAAGCCAGTTTAAGTAAATCTTGGAAGTTCATTGGTGGGGGACCTGGTGGACGTTTGGGTTTTACCTTCACCTCTGAAGATTTGATTTTAGTTGCATTTGAGATTTCTTTTTCATTCTTTATTGATTCATTAGATTTGGCATTACTATGAGTTTGTCTGTGATTGTCTCTGTGTTTATCATGCCTATCTCGTTTGATGTCTTTATGCTTATGGCTACCATGCACATGCTTTTCATTTTCATGACTTATGTCGTCTCTATGCTTTGTGGATTTATTTTTATCTGCCTCCTCAGCCTCTCCCTTTTCTTCTTTTGCACTTTTGGGTTGTCTACTGTTTGCTGTAGTAGGTTTACTTAGCATTGCCTTGGCCTTTTCCTGTAACATTTTCCTGTGCTCTTCCAGTTGTTCTTTGTTAAATGTTTTGGGGACATCTTTGGTGGTTCGTGCCATGGCATTGGCCTTTTTGTTATGACGAGCATCAGCACGTGCTTTAAGTAACTCTTCTTTCTTCTTCTTGGCCTCTAGAGCTGAACAGAAAAGAAAACAACTTCTGTACTAAATAAGAAGACAATATTATTATGCTGTTGACTGACATCATGCAATGTTTAACTGCATGCTGCAGCCACAAAGCATATAATGCTCTAAATCATTTATATAAAGACGGGGGAAAAATACAAATTATATGCATGGTACTTTCTCATGCACAGTGTATTGACAAATACAAGTACCAGTCTATTCATGTTATGACTGTTTATCTTTAAGGGTACTAAAAATTGATAATATTATTATTTCCCCATAGCGATTAAGCAAAACACAAATTTTCTCATAATCTTCGACAAAGATACACGCCACTGGCTTCAGATAGAGAAAATTGTCTGAAGTGGCATTCACAACAGATGATTCCTTGGACTAACTAGTCCATGGATCAAATATGGCTGATCCCACTTGAAGAAATGCAGCATTATCCCCTAATGGACTCCCCGCCAGCCACATGTACCACATCCCTGCAGGGGCCTAGCAGTTAAATTTTGGGGCCACATTAATTCAGCTCTAATTGCTCTGCCCCAGCAGGGATGGAATGTGTGGTAGTGTGTGTTAGGAAACCATTAGAGGATTGTGCGGCACTGCTTTCAAATGGGGTTGGCAATTAATATTTGATTTGTGGACTAGTTATTTCGAGGACCATCTGTTGTGAATGTCATGGTCTATAATAGTATATAAGGTCTACCAGTATATAATGCTGAAACAAAAGTGTAACTGGATAACAATAACACAGCTACATCTATAAGCAGCACTTAATTTGCCTGATACCTTGTCTCTCTTCCTCTTCTTTCCTCTTCTGCAGCAGAGCCTTTACTGCCTTAGGGTCTACTTTACTTCTTTCTAGCTTCTTAGGTGCAGAGAACTTGGTGGTCAAAAGTTTGGAGGCAGGCTATAATAAACAGTTGTAACTTGTACACAGTTGGTATTAAAGGACACAATTAATAATTTAAAAATAAATTTAAAAATAAATTAGTAAGAGTGTGGTTCATAACCCCCCGACCTCCCTCATTGGCTGGCATTACCTTATATTTAAGTCAAAATACGAGACACAGAATCTAAATTCAACAACATATTTTCACGTTGCCTGTTTGAGACAGGGCATTCCAGATACTCCGTGCTACGTATCGTAATTAACACTAACAGACACACATGATAGATGACAATACTAACCTTTCTGGTGGCCTCATGTTGATTATTTTCGGCTACAGATAAAATGGAACTAAAGTCCATCTTTAGCAGGTAAAACTTTTGAAAAATACTACTTATGGAAGTGTGTGCTCAGGATTTTTTAACGTAAGTGCAGTCAGCACTCATTGAAGCAGGCAGGAAGTGGCCATATTATGACGTCA